AGATTTCCGCTTCCCCCCCATTTCCGCCCCCCCAATTCCGAGGTTTTCCCCCCAAATTTCCGTTTTTTCCCAAAATCCCGCTTTTTCCCCCCAAATCGCGCCGTTACCTGCGGGGTGCGGTGCAGCTCGTACAGGCTCAGCTCCCAGGTCTTGCTGGCGCTCTGCGCGCTGGCGGGGGCGGCCATGGCCCCAAAATCCCCAAATTCCCCCAAAATTCCCCAAAATCCCCCGAAATCGCCCCAAAATCCCGCCCGAGCCGCGCGACGCCGCCGCCGCTTCCGGGTGGCGCCGCCTGATGACGTCACGGCGGCGGCGGCCAATGGGAGGCGCCGCTGGGTTCGGCCAATGGCAGCGGGAAGTGGGCGTGGTTACGGTGGGCGGGGCGTGGTTTTGACCGTATTTGGGGTGGGAAAGGGGCGTGGTTATGTAGATTAACAGGGCGGGGGTTAAGCCGCGCGTGTGCTCTGTTTGGGGGCGTGGTTATGCAGATGAAGAGCGGAAAGGGGCGTGGTTTAAAGGCTATTCTTGAACTGTTTTAGGGCGTGGTTATGCAGATAAAGGGGCGGGGTTTAAACAACGTTCGGGTCCCCGTTTGGGGGCGTGGTTATGTAAATGAAGGAGGTTGGGGGGCGTGGCTTAAACCACGCTCGAACGCAGGTTTGGGGTTCGGATATGCAAATGAAGGGGGCGTGGTCTCTACACAGGGCTGCCGTTTTGGGGAGTGGCTATGCCCTTATATGGCGCTGTGGGCGTGGCCTCGCAGCGCGGGCTGGGGGAAGGGAGCGCGGGGAGCTCCCCAGTCCCTCCCAGTTTGTCCCAGTTTGTCCCAGTTTGTCCCAGTCCCTCCCAGTTTGTCCCAGTTTGGTCCCAGTTTGTCCCAGTTTGGTCCCAGTCCCTCCCAGTCCCTCCCAGTTTGGTCCCAGTCCCTCCCAGTCCATCCCAGTCCCTCCCAGTCCCTCCCAGTCCCTCCCAGTCCATCCCAATCCCTCCCAGTTCCATCCCAATCCCTCCCAGTCTCTCCCAGTCTGCTCCAGTTTGATCCCAGTTAATTCCCAGTCCCTCCCAGTTTGATCCCAAACCCCTCCCACTTTGCTCCCAGTCCCTCCCAGTCCATCCCAGTTCCCTCCAGTCAATTCCCAGTCCATCCCAGTCCCTCCCAGTCTGCCCCAGTTGGATCCCAAACCCCTCCCAGTCCCCCCGTCAATTCCCAGTCCCTCCCAGTTTGATCCCAAACCCATCCCAGTCCCTCCCAGTCCCTCCCAGTTCATTCCCAGTCCGTCCCAGTCCCTTCCAGTTTGATCCCACTCCATCCCAGTCCATCCCAGTCTGCTCCAGTTTGATCCCAGTCCATCCCAGTTCATTCCCAGTCCCTCCCAGTCTGATCCCAGTCCATCCCATAAAATAAAATAAAATAAAATAAAATAAAATAAAATAAAATAAAATAAAATAAAATAAGGAATGAAATAAAAAGAAAAAATTAAAAATAAAAGAAAAAAAAATTTAAAAAAATAAAAATAATAAGGAATAAAATAAAAAGAAAACTGAAAATAAAGAGAGAAAAAGAAAATAAAAATAAAAACCCCCTGGAAATAACACAAAATAAAAGAACTAAAACTGGAAATAAAAATGAAATAAAATTAAAATCTGAAAATAAAACGAAAAACAGAAAATAAAAAATAAAAAATAAAATTAAATTTAAATAAAAAATACAAATAAAAATTAAAATAAAAATAAAAAATGAAAATAAAAAATAAAAATAGTAAATAAAATTAAAATTAAATAAAAAATACAAATAAAAATTAAAATAAAAATAAAAAATGAAAATAAAAATAAAAAATAAAAATAGAACCTGAAAATAAAAATAAAATAAAAATAAAAATAAAAATAAAAATAAAAATAAAAAATGCAATGTATAAAAAGTAAAATAAAAATAAAAAATGAAAATGAAAATAAAAATAAAAAATAAAAATAGAAAAGAAAATTAAAATTAAATAAAAAATACAAATAAAAATTAAAATAAAAATAAAAAATGAAAATAAAAATAAAAAATAAAAATAGAACCTGAAAATAAAAATAAAAATAAAAACAGCAATATAAAACTGACGAATGTAACGATAAATAGAAACGTGAACGAGAGCCTTGGAAGCAGAACTGGAGATTTTTATTGGGATCAACACAATTCCTCTCAGGGGAAATTCGGGAATTCCAGAGGCCCCAAAATCCCCAAAATTCCCCCAAATTCCCCAAATTCCCCAAATTCCAGGGGAAAACTGGGGGGGAAAAATAATTTTTGGGGGAAAAAAGAGGAAAAAAATTGGGATTTTGGGGGAAAAATTGGGGAATTTTGGGGGAAAATGGGAATAAATTAATAATTTTGGGGGAAATGGGAAAAAAATTGGGAATTTTGGGGGGAAATGGGAGAAAATTGGGGAATTTTGGGGGAAAATGGGATAAAAATTGGGAGTTTTGGGGGGAAAAATTGAGAATTTTGGGGGGAAAAAGGAAAAAAATTGGGAAATTTGGGAGAAAATTGGAAAAATTTGGGAATTTGTGGGGAAAATGGGAGAAAATTGGGAATTTTGGGGGGGACATGGGAGAAAATTGGGACATTTTGGGGGAAAAAAGGAAAAAAATTGGGAAATTTGGGAGAAAATTGGAAAAATTTGGGAATTTGTGGGGAAAATGGGAGAAAATTGGGAATTTTGGGGGGGACATGGGAGAAAATTGGGACATTTTGGGGGAAAAAAGGAAAAAAATTGGGAAATTTGGGGGAAAATTGGAAAAATTTGGGAATTTGTGGGGAAAATGGGAGAAAATTGGGAATTTTGGGGGGGACATGGGAGAAAATTGGGAAATTTTGGGGGAAAAGGAAAAAATTGGGAAATTTGGGGGGAAAATTGGAAAAATTTGGGAATTTGTGGGGAAAAATTGGGAATTTGGGAAGAAAAGTGAGGAAAAATCAGGATTTTGGAGGGGGGAAATGAGACAAAATTGGGAATTTGGGGGAAAAATGGGAAAAATTTGGGAATTTTGGGGAGAAAAATGAATTTTAGGATGGAAATGGGAATAAATTGGGAATTTTGGGCAGAAAATGAGAATAAATAGGGAATTTTTGGGACAAAATTTGGAATAAATTGGGAATATTTGGGACAAAAATGGGAATTTTGGGGGGAAATGGGAATAAATTGGGAATTTTGGGCAGAAAATGAGAATAAATAGGGAATTTTTGGGACAAAATTTGGAATAAATTGGGAATATTTGGGACAAAAATGGGAATTTTGGGGGGAAATGGGAATAAATTGGGAATTTTTGGGAGAAAAATGGGAATTTTAGGTTGGAAAATAGGAAAAATCAGGAATTTGGGTGGAGGAATGGGATTAAATTAAGAATTTTAGGGGGGAAAATGGGAATAAATTGGGAATTTTGGGGGCAAATGGGAATAAACTGGGAATTTTGGGAGAAAAATGGGAATTTTAGGGGGGAAAATGGGAATAAATTGGGAATTTTGGGGAGAAAAATAGGAATAAATTCAGAATTTTGGGGTAAAAATAGGAATAAATTGGGAATTTTGAGGGAAAAATAGAAATAAATTGGGAATTTTGGGGAGAAAAATAGGAATAAATTCAGAATTTTGGGGTAAAAATAGGAATAAATTGGGAATTTTGAGGGAAAAATAGGAATAAATTGGGAATTTTGGGGAGAAAAATGGGAATTTTGGGGAGAGAAATGGGAGTTTTGGGGGGAAGTGGGATTAAATTAAGAATTTTGTGAGAAAAATGGGAATAAATTGGGAATTTTGGGGAGAAAAATGGGAATTTTGGAGGGAATAAATGGGCATAAATTGGGAATTTTGAGGGAAAAATAAGAATAAATTGGGAATTTTGGGGAGAAAAATGGGAATTTTGGGGAGAGAAATGGGAGTTTTGGGGGGAAGTGGGATTAAATTAAGAATTTTGTGAGAAAAATGGGAATAAATTGGGAATTTTGGGGAGAAAAATGGGAATTTTGGAGGGAAGTGGTATTAAATTAAGAATTTTGTGAGAAAATGGGAATAAATTGGGAATTTTTTTGGGAAAAATGGGAATAAATTGGGAATTTTGGGGAGAAAAATGGGAATTTTGGGGAGAAAAATGGGAATAAATTGGGAATTCTGGGGAGAAAAATGGGAATTTTGAGGGAATAAATGGGCATAAATTGGGAATTTTGAGGGAAAAATAGGAATAAATTGGGAATTTTGGGGAGAAAAATGGGAATTTTGGGGAGAAAAAAATTGGGAATTTGGGGGGGAAATGGGATTAAATTAAGAATTTTGGGGGGGAAAATGGGAATAAATTGGGAATTTTGGGGAGAAAAATGGGAATTTTGTGAGAAAAATGGGAATAAATTGGGAATTTTAGGGGGAAAATGGGAATTTTGATGGAAAAAAATGGGCATAAATTGGGAATTTTGGGGGAATCAATTGGGAATTTGGGTGTTTTTGGGGTGTCTCAGCCCAGGAAGCAGACGGGCCCCAGGCGGACTCCGGAATTTGGGGTTTTTTGGGGCATTTCGGGCCCCTCGAGGCGCAGGTCGAGCAGCGGGAGCAGCTCCGGGCGCGCCGAGCGCAGCTCCAGCTCCAGGCGCGCCCCGGCGCCCGCCGAGCCCTGCCCGGAGAAACGGGGGTAAACAGCGGGAAAACGGGAAAAACGGGAAAAACGGGAATTCTGGGGGGGGAAATGGGAATAAACAGCGCGAAAATGGGAAAAAACGGGGGTAAACACCGGGAAA